TTTTGTTTCACCAAGTTTCAGCAAAACATTACCTACAGGTTTAAACAACTGTTCTGAAAACAGGAAAAAAAATTTAACGAGTAATTTTACCCTCTGGGAAAGAGAGTGGAAGCAATAGTTTGAGGCTTTTGGCAGACAGAGCACAGTACTAAAAGGTCTTGTTGTCATATCTGACTTTTTAAAAGTGGTCTCATAGGCACAATAGCCACACGACATTCAAAAGACACAGAAAGACATAAAGTGTTAAGTCAGTTTGCCTCTGACCAGCCACCCAGGTCCCCTCCCCCAAGGCAATCAATGTTATCAGTGTCTGTGTGTCCCTCCAGTAGTACTCCATAGTTACAATCAAATATGAACTAAATTACAACATACTGAGAGACCGACTCCTTAGACAACTTCAATTAATTACATAAAATGATCCTTGAATCAAAGTAGGGGTATGGAGAGTACCACTGTTACCTATACCGTTAACGTGTGAGCAAACACAGAACCACCAATTAGATCTCTAACACAGTCAGCTGAATGCAGCTATGAAATCTATTCACATTTCCCAGCACAATAAAAACCCATTGACTCAATTCTGCTTCAGGCTGCTATTTTCCCAGACTAGATTATAAAATGACTCAAAAAATTATTCACATCATCTCATTCTTCCACCTATCAGAATGTACTCTGGACAAGACTCCAGCAGAGAAGGCCAAGAGTTAAAACATAGGGAAGAGAAGGGAGGGCAGAGGAGGAAGCGGGAAGAGTTGTGGCGCTGAAGCTGCAAATAAATTAAAACACCCCACACTGTCTACGCACCTTAGTTTACGCATAAATAAATAAATAAATAAAAAGAAATAAGCGCGCCCGAACCCATCAGGGCCGCAGACTTGGGGCATTTAATGGAGGCCCCTCTGCGGTCTCCCCCGCGCCACGGCTGGCCGGGGTCAGGATCCACGCCCGTCTGCAGCGGCGGCTTTACCTTGAGCGTGAGCGGTGTGATCTTCTCCTTATTCACCCCCTCAGGTAAGAAGTCCAACAGGCAGTCCAGCACGACGTCCTTCACAGTCTGAAACTCCTCTTCCCCGCGCAGGTCGGCGCAGAAGATGAGGTCCAGGTCCTTGTAGCCCAGGCCGCTGTCCTGGTGCAGGACGTGGCTGGCGGCCGAGCCACGTCGCGGACGCCAATGCGCTTCTCCGCCAGGCGCCGCCGCACCACCTTCACGATCAGGCTGGGCTGCAGCTCCAGTGTGGGGAAGTTGCCGCGCCCGTGGATCGGGATGGTCTCGCTTAGGATGCCGTCCAGTCGCTGCACTTGCTCCCAATTCAGCACGTTGCAGTGCGCCGTGGGGCTTTCGCAATAGTCCAAGCAGGGCTCGCTGAAGCCGTCGCCGCCGCCGCTGAATTCGCCGCCCAGGGGTATGTAGGAGCCCCCGGCCAGCTCTTCGTCGGCCATAGCAAAGTATCCTTCGCCCTCCGCCATGTAGTGCCCGCCGAACGCCACTTGGCCCTGGTCAGTCCTGAGAGAAAAAAAGGGGAAGGAGCACGGTGAGGACGCCGGGCGACCGCGCAAGGTAGGGGCCGTAATGTCTACATTGCTGGACATCCACATAGTTAGAGCGCGCCCCCGGATCGTCCCCTGGTCCCGGGGGCTCTCTGGAGACTCTCCCGTCCCTGGCCTCCCCCAGCCATGCGCCGCGCCCCGCAGAGCAGCCCCGCACCAAAAGTATCTCTGATGCATCTGGAAAGCGCAAGCGAGAGTCCCGTCTGTGTCACCTGGAGGCGGCCGCCCCTTCTAGGAGCGCAGAGCGAGGAACCGCGAGGCGGCAACACTTCAGGAGCTGCGAGTGCGCTCGGCGGCGGCTGGCGAACTCGCCTTTCCCCGACCCCGGCCCGCCGCGCCGCCCACTCCCGCCC